TGTATATAATCTGCAGTGCAAACAAATCATTCCCTCAATCCCATTTAAACTGTCTCTTAAAAAGAAGCCTTTGATTTCTATCTATCTATCTATCTATCTATCTATCTATCTATCTATGGATATAAGAGATAAAGATTTACGTATATAAATAAAAGCAAGCAGTCGACTTGTTAATATTTGAAATATCTGTAACTGACCAGAGGCAAAAAAAACCAAAACATTATAGCCCATCTGACACGAAATGATCACCATTCATGCTGGATGAATTAGTGAAAATAGCAAAAAGAGCAGCCAGCTCTGTTTAAGAAAGTGGTCTTCTGTGACATTCCAGACATACAAAAAACACTGGAATCAGTGGTACTCTTCTTCCTCTCTTTGACTGCTGAGGTTCTCGATAATATCTACGAAAAATGTCAAAGTTTTATTGCAAATTCTTTGAGGATACTGAGTCTTTACCTTTTCATATTTTAATAGCCATTATCAAGTGGGAGTTTTTCTTTTTAGTTTTGTTGTATTATTCTGAGTCTTCATGATGTATCCACAGCGTGGACCAGGAAAGTTCAGAGGTTCCCAGTGGTCAGTCTGCCCAGCAGCACCTGGACTCCATATTTATGGTCTGTACATATACAAATATTACTTTTACATCTATTCTGTTCATAGAACTCACTTCTGGCTCAGAAGGTCGAGTGAGTTTCCCTTTGAACAGAATTTCATAAAATATTTCGTTCCAGATTTTGGAGGGCAAAATAATCTCTTTTGTGAAGAACGAGCTGAAGAAGATCCAGACACGTCTGAGTCCAGATGACCTACAATGTTTTAAGAGTCAATGTGAGGAAAAGGCTGTATTACAGAGTGTGGATGAAGAACAGAGTACGAGCAGCAGAGAAGCATTTGTGATGATTACAGTGGACTTCCTGAAGAGAATGAAGCAGAATAAGTTCGCTGAGTGTTTGCTGAGAGGTGAGAATTATTCTCTAAATAAAAAAACATTCTAAAGAAACATGCTAAAACATTCAACAATATTTCAAGTAATAGAAAAAAATACATTCAACATATGTGATGAATCCTTGATTTTGTGTGTGTGTGTGTGTGTCGCTCAGAAACCTGCACTCAGTGGCATCAGCATGAATTTAAATCTAACATGAAGAAGAAGTTCCAGTGTGTGTTTGAGGGGATCGCTAAAGCAGGAGACCAAACCCTTCTGAATCAGATCTACACAGAGCTCTACATCACAGAGGGACGGACTGTAGATGTCAGCAATGAACATGAGGTCAGACAGATTGAAACAACATCCAG